ACTTGAAACAACGGACACGGACAACAATACGCACTACAATGCAGTCGCATGCATTGAACAACCAAGACACTTAAGGACTAAAGCGATATAAAACCTATTCAGTCCAAAGTCCTTGGAACAAAAGTCTGAATGATACTCTTCCGAGAATCACTCACTTAAAGTCCAGCGTTGTTGTCGTTCCGTAGCTCTCGAAGTTTCTCTTCCAGGAAACCTCGCGTTTTCAAATGCCCACTCTCCAAGCTTCAAGCTTCTTCGCCGGAAATCCGTCGGCTTCACACACGCAGCTGTTGCCCGCGTCTTCGCTCGATAGCGGTAAACACACGCTCTTGCCTGTAGCCGAGCCTTCACCCCTCAGGTGGAAATCCTCTTCATCTCCTGCTTCGTCCCTACGGACAACCTTCGCCGACTACACGGCGGTATACCCTACGCGCTCTTGCGCTAACTTCCGTCTCCTCCTGCTTTCTCGTCTCGGCTGTTCGATTAAATACGTTCCGCGCCACCTTCCAGAACGTTCTCCTCATTTCGTCGGCGCGACGCGCAGCGAAGGCTGGGGAGAGGCACGAGACGGTTCGACTGCCCTCTCCGGAGGATGATTCACTCGGTCTGACCCCGCCTCCTTCGTTCTAGAAAAATCGCGGCTTTGCTGGGCCGCCGATGTGGGGTGAGGAGGATCGTCTGCGAAGCCGTGCTTCTGCGGGGAGAGCGCGCGCCCGGGAGCCTTGGATGTTTGCTTTCTTTTTTTTTCTTTTTACCTCGCGGCGTTTCTGTCGCGCGTTGTCGCAAGGATTTGGCGGCGCGCTCTTTTTTAGCGCTCGTTCTGTGACACCTGACGATTACAGGAGCTCTACCCACAATTAGAGCCCTTTGATCTGATCGAGGGGCTTTACCCACGACGTCGTTGTAGCGCCATCGTTAGGGAAGCCCACAAGACCGGGGAGCGTGCGACCTCAGCAGAAACAAATGAAGACGGCGCATGGCAGTGAAGCCACGGCTCGTGTTTCCTGCTCCCTTATATATACATTGACTGAGAAGACGAAAAAGATGGCTTGCGCTTTCCAGACATCTTAGGTGAGTGCACAAAAGACCCCTGTCAGTTTTTCTTTTCTCTTTTTTGACAGCATAAAGCAGCAGTGTCTCAACTTCGACGAGAGACGCTGCGCGTTACCGCGCATGCTCTGGCAATATACGGAGCTGCCCTGGCGTAACCAGGGCGTCACCCCCCCCCCCCCCCCCAATTTTATTTTCCTGCCATCGTATACATGAATAGCGTCAAATTATGATCTGCTTGCCCGTCCCTCTCCCCTTTTAGATCAAGTAGGTGCTCCCGCCCATGAATTTTCTCCGCCTGCGCCGCAGATGCTGAGCCTCTCAGCACAGGGGACGCCAGGAGGTCGGCAATCACCAGCTCTGACCTGGAGGTTCTAATACTAGCTGTCCAGGGGGCCCGCAAAACGGCGAAGCTAGCTAGAGCTCGCCCCTTTCTGTCCCCACGAGGGCGCTGCCGACCCTGCATCCGGAGGGACTTCTCGGGACAATTATTTTCTAAACAAAGCTCATCGACTGACAGACAATTGTTGCCCTTCAAGGACTGTTTACTTCACACGTGTAACACGAAATGACATCACCATTTTCTTCACCTAAAATTTGGAACGACCTCTTCCTCTGTCAGGAAACAGTTGACTTCTCCAAACCCGTCTAGACATGAATCGAAACTACTTGTCATATCTAAATAGTCCCTTTACAATAGCTTTTTTTTGTTTTCTTGCTTACTTACGTTGCTTATTTGATGCTGTTCGATGTGAAAGGTGCTTTACGTTGCTTTTTGGCGTTCTTGGTGCTTGATGCGCCTAGCGATACCGTGTGGATTCACAGCCGGAAAGAGCCAATCAGAGATACCAGCTGTCATTCGCAGGCAGCTAGTACAGAGGCATATACTGAACGAAAACCGCCCCCTCCCCCCCCCCTCCTCAAAGGGAGGCAGGGCAGGGCGCGCCAAAACGGGATCCACGCCACCCAACCCACGAGGGAAGCGAAACAAAATCAGTTCGTGCCATCTTATTTTTCAATTCTTTATCATCTTCTTCTACGGCGAGGCGGAAGTATAAGCTTTAATTTTAGACTACGGCGCCGGGTCCACCGCTCGGGGTTCGGGACTAGTTTTGGGAGGATCGCGCGGTGTCTGTGCCCGCAGCCACCAAACACAGCAGCCTAATACGCCACGGCGAGGTCTGATCTGCAGGAAAGGGAAACCGACACGCTTCGTACAAGCAGACGACGAGGAAACTCTAAACTTAGACACAAGGGTCTTGTGTTTTTCCCCTCATACTCTTATTCATCTAGAAGCAACGGTTATAGATATTATCATCATCAGTTTCACTTTCGATAACTACAGTCACCGACGATAGCCCTACAATCATTAAACATTAAATCGCTACGCTCACGATGTCGAATCGAAGTTCCAAGATTTTAAAATGCAGCAATCAACTTTTCCAGCCTTTCTGACGGTATAACCTCATCACATTTTCAAACGATGGTTCCACGCCTGGTTTCCGTGTGTTGAACGTAATACATTTTTTTCTTGTTCTAATGCAGCTGAATGTTGTTGTTTTTTTTTTCGTGCAACTGAGCTCCGATTCCCTCTCCTGTAACATTCGCTCCTTACCCCTAAAATATTTTATGGTTGAAGTTAAAAGGCATCATACCGACGTGTAAGGTACTTCATTTGTTGTTATATTGTACGTATTCGTTTTATAATTAGTAGTTTTTTTTCTTGCATTTTTCTTCGTTTTCTCACTAGCATTATAATGCGTTCCTATTCCTGCAGATCCCTAAACAGGGCTACTAAATACACCAATAACTAAGTTAAATTAATTCGTTTAAGTACAGTTAACAGGGCAATAAGTAGTAGAAGGACGGCAAGATATTCAAATTTCATTCTACAAAGCGAATGAGAGAGGGGGGGACGTGTTTATAGTAAAACAAAATTTAGCCGGCGTACGTAGACTGCTGACTTGCTACGACGCAAATGCCTGAACAAAGAACGAACTAAGTAACGACAAGTACAGAGCTCGAATGGTATGAGTCAGGTTCGTTGTGCAAGGTATATATATTACACAGCATCGGTGTTTTTGTTTTTTTTATGGGGAGAAGCTCCTTGTGGCGTGGCTTCTGCGTTTCCCGTTGTCGTTGTGCGCAACCGCCGGTCGAACATACGATATGTTCCATAGGGGACAGACGAACAGACGGACGGATGGACAGACAGACAGACAGACAGACAGACAGACAGACAGACAGACAGACAGACAGACAGACAGACACAGACAGACAGACAGACAGACAGACAGACAAGCACACGACGGATGAACGAACGCACGGACGCACGGACGGAAGCACAGACGGATGGACGAACGAACGGAATGACGCAAGGACGGACGCACAGACAGTTGCGCGGATGGGCGCACGGACGGACGCACGAACGGACAGCAGCAAAAACGAACGGAAGGACGGAAGCGCGCGCGGAATGACGGACACTTTGCCCCACTCATTATCATTCAGTCCGTGGATATGCTGTGATTTTTTTATCTCTTCGAAGTTACCAAGTACTTAAAACCCAACGCATAAATCAACGTCCACAGACCCACCTTCTACAAGTGCGCTCACATGTACTGTACCGGCATAACAGATGGCAACAATTCCACGTCATCTATTCGGAAAGAAGATACTTCGGCCGGGTTGATAAAGTTATGAGCATTCAAAGAAACAATCAAGTAGTGTACGGCGCCACACATCCTAATCTTGCTCAACGGCCCCGACATCGTCCATACCAATAATGTATACACTTCCGGAATAGTTGGAACGACAAAAAGCACGCCAGGCTATACCGAACAGGTAGTCATAATTCCAGGCTAACATTAATTATTGGCACTCAACAGCGTCTCTCAGTTTCAAGCTTGAGAATGCTAATCTGTGTGAGCATTGATTCCCTTGCGTGAATATTTGTGTTTGCTAAACCTTCGTGTTGGGTGCGCACTTTTTCGCCTTTAAGAAATGGGACTAAGTGTGCGACTGTTCTGGTATGCGCATTTGTATAGTTTCTTGCTTGTTCTCCACTTTTCCGAGGCAACTGTTATAAGCAAGAGGAAAGGAGTAGCCGATGCCACGCATTGAGATCAACCTCTCCTTGCAAACACGACACAACCGTTAACAGTGTTTACGGCAATGCACGAACATGAAGTGTAGTACTATAAAGAAAAAAAAACTGAACATAACCATGACGAATAAAAAAAAACCGCAAAGAAAACAACAATGTTTACGGAAATGCGCGCAGTATAAAAATAACAAAAATAACGTTACTATCCATAACGTAAAGCACAACGAAAAATCGTGAATAAACTAAAGTGTTTTCAACTATTCGCACAATTAAATAAAAAAGCATAACGTCAAATTACCATAACGTAAAATGGTAAACAATATAACGTAAACCATAACAAAAAACCATAAACAAACAATGTTTACTGCATTGCGCGAAGTGCGCACATGACAGAAAATCATTACACTATCATAATGTAAAACAATGACAGACACAGCGGTAAACTACAACAAACGCCAGACACAGCCGTAAACCATAACAATAAAACGTAAATGAACGACGGTATTTACAATGCGCGGAGTGTAAACAAACAAAACCTTTGCGAAAACAGAGCAGTATTTGAGAGACTGCTCCCGCGAGACATTTTACCCAACTTTAATGTTTTGTGTGGTCATTTCAATTGCATGATTGCTTGTGTTTCTTTAAATTCTGTGTTGTATACAGTTCTTTGCATAGAAGAAATTGTACTCAGTGCGTAAGTGATGTGCCTTTGTATAGCCTTGCGTTTGATATCTAATATGCGATGACCACTGTTGTGCAAGAGTACAGAAGTAGCCGGCGCCACGCATTGGCACCAACCCCTCTCTACTTACATATATTTAATTTTAAAAAAAAAAGAACCAGGACTTACTTTTGGGCGTCCTGAGGCCCTTCTTTTTGGAGAGCGTTCGCAGGATCGCTGGAATATCCTCGTTGCGAACAGCCTGGAAGAGCTGATGCTCTTTGGACGCTGACAAGCCCGACGAAGAGGACAACATACTCGAAGTCTCCCGGGCGCGCCGCGCTGAGCGCGCAACTTTTTCGGGACCGTAAGACACCCACAAAACTTTCGTCAACACACCCAGATCGCGGGGCGGGCCGCTTCTACAACACCGTGGCTCGGCACAATCAATTATCACCAAAAAAGCGATAATCGAAGGGCCGAGTCCGCGTCACAAATGCTGCCGCAACTTGCCGAACACCCCCATGACTTCACGCTTCTCCTCAAAACAGCAACAACAGCCTCAGCAATGGCGATGCAACAGCAGCAATAGCGCCGGGAGCCACTCTCGAAGACATCGCGGCAAAAACTCGCCGCAAACTTTCTCACCGCGTCGACTCGAAGCGCGCGATTGACACCCGCAATACCGCACTGTCACGGCCGAAGCACATAGCGGGTCCACAGCAGGACGTCGCGCAGAGTTGGAGCAGCCAGGGTCGGAAATCCGAACAGACGGCGCGGCGTCGCCCGACGACTCCTCGCGGGGTTTCATAAGCACGCGTCGCCGTCGTTCCGAGTGCCGTTGATCTCTCGCGGCGTGTTTACACGCTTCCGGTGAACGCCACAAGCTGGCGCTACAAACTAAAGCAGGGGTCTTGTTATTACTGATAGTGACAAAACTCATCACAAACATTAGGCATTAAAATGTACCACAATTTGTTATAATATTAACATTTTAAAATTTGTCGCGCCATCTGCAGGGTGTAATAACAACTAAAATATGTCAAAAATTGAGCAAATTATTAGTTTACTTGTTTTTTGCTACAATTTCAGGTGACACGTCAACATTTTAGTTTAAACACAATGCACGTATAATTTTACAGCAAATTGAAGCCGGCTTTTGTCACTTGCATGGTAAAATAATGCCAGAATAAACGTCACCACCTTGTCCAATCATAGCGGTCCTTTTGGACTATCGCAGTTCTACGTTTTTGAGCAGACGACAGCGTCACAGCATCGCGGGGCTGAATGCATTGAGAGAATCGTCGTCTGCACTACAACGCTGATAAGTTTTGGCTACTTTCTCAATTATAGATTTGTGACGTTTCGGTCGTGGCTTGCAGCTTCGTTCGGCGGCCTGTGCCAAACATCGGCGCTTGAGTGGAAAGAGAGAAAAACGCGAATGCTTTCTTTATGAACTTTCTCCTTCGTCTGGGAAGTAGAGCGGCGGCAGCGGCCCGTCCTTGGAATTTCTACTTCCTAGTTCCGCCGCTGCTTGCGTTTTCGCCGTATGTTCTTTTTTTCTTATTTTTCTTTTTTAGATCCGCTTTCTCCGCGGCGGCTCTCGTTTTTCTCCGTTTATTTTGCCCGTGCCGGCATTTTCTCCCCTTCAACCGCACCGAGATGGTAGGGAGCCGAGCAGTCCGGCTCGCTCAAAGATAGGGTAGTGGGCGTGGCTCGCATGATAGATAACAAAAGAAAGAAAGAAAAGAACGCTCTCGAGATGCAGCACACACGGATCCCCTAGTGGGGAGATTGCAGAGCCTGGATCACCCGGCAGCAGCAGCAATGAACGATGAACACAGTTCACAGATGGCACAGCAGAACACGAGGGTTCGGTAAGGAAGAGTTCGGAATCGTCGCGGGGCACGCCTAGAACACGCTTTGGAGAACCGTCGGCGAAATGAACAGTTCGGGGAAAATTCTGGAGGACATAACAGTGCCGCCGACTCAATTTGCCTCGCGCGTTCGGATTAAAACAATTCTCCTGTGGTGTATGCCTTAAAGAAAACAAAAGTCGAACAACGGAAACGTCGAACGTCGGATGAAATAAATGCAAGACGCATCAGAGCATCGCGGATGCAAACAAAATGAAGTGTCGGGTTGCAGCCTCGAGCAAGTTGCGAATGCACGTGGGATGTAAACATTTCCACGCTGCCTTTTTTATATACAAATGGGAGTTTCGAATCTGCACGACGGGGTAACAACAAGAAAGGAAAAGGCGGAGCAATTTCATTTCATTGACTCTGTTTGGGCGGCAACCGATGGAATAGAGCGTTTATTAAATCAAACAGTATAGCACGTTTTGTTGTTCGGAGGCAATCGCTCTCCGTAATCGGTCCCTCGGTGTTCATTTCTCTTAGTGCATGTTCTGCGACTCCAGTACAGCGGCAATAAACTTTTCGCGTGGCTTCTATTACAACGCCTTACGAATGAAGCGATAGACCCTTCTTTACCCCCCATACACACACTTAGCCCACCCTGAGAAGTAAGAATTAAAAACACACACACACGCAAACCGGAAAGAAAACCGAACACCATGAGGAGTAGCGGAGCGCAACAGTCGCCGGAAATAAATGGCCATGCGAGCTGCCCAAACGACTTGTACGAATGTTATTTCACAGAGTGCGCGAGCGAGCCTGCCTTGCAAGCCGAAGGCGAAGTCAAAGCCAAGGGGGCGGTTTGACACTGTGCAGGCCAACGCTGCGCTTCTATAGCAGGGCATAGAGACGTGTGTTTAAGAGCCAGGGGGCGGCTACGTAGGTAGTGTATGCGATCGAATTTAATACAGAAATAGCATCCTGGAAACCATTGAAAGTCAAAGCACCAGTGGGGCACACGAAGTGTTTCGACGGTGGGTGCATCGTGTCTACAGCGGGCTTTTTATCGAATCTGACAAAAGAAATCGTTACCAAATGCCCTGCAAGATTATATCCATGCGCGTTCTGGTTCTCGCCGGCGCGCGCAGTGAGAAAATCGTCTGCTCCCGCGCACGAGCAGACGACGTCTGTCATTAGAAGACGACCGCACTTTTTAGCAAGGTACCGGAGAATGTACGCAAGAAATCGTTCTCAAAGGTAGCAATAATGTGCAGCTGATTAACTGCAACTTTGGTTAATGCGAGCAACAATAACGACGCAAAGTCATCAAGTCTCAACCTGGGCACCTAGTGTGGGCACCTATAGAGAAATGCTAGCACGTGTCCCGCTCAAGTATGTGCTGCATATATAGGAATGCAATCTGGAAGTGTGTGTGTGTGTGTGTTTTAGTAGCAATTTCCCTTCCTACCATCGCAGCACAGAGGAATTGCAGCATTTGCATACCAGTGTGAGTGGCCTAAAGGTGGAAGGGGGATCGTTCAATTTCGCATGGGCTCTTGGGGTGTGCGAATAGTCAATTTTGGAACCGAATCGAAAAGTGGTGGCAACGAATCGGTTATGAACGCGACTCAATAGAATATTCTAGCATGCGTAATAAAACAGTTCAATGCACAGGAAGCGAGGAATCGACGGAGAATGCAACTGCAACGGCGTAAATCGCTATTCGTGCCGGATGAAGAGAGATCCCTACCACTGATCGCTCGCGTATGCACTTCGCCTTGGCATAATGTGTATGTCCAAGTTTAACGCACTACGTCGCAGTGCTTGCCTCGAACTCGACGTCTGTGATGCTCGCTGAAATAACTGAAACGTCTTTCGCATTGTACACGCAGCACGTTTTGAGGAGCTTCCTACTTTTCTGACGTGAGGTTGGATTGAAGGAAGAAGCTTGCCAGGTCTTTGATTTGACGAGGCCAAGTCAAGACCAACCAAAGAGGAGGGCATATGCACTTTCGTTTGCGGACTTCCGCTACCATCATCTAAAGATCCTGCCAGACCCGAAAATCACAGGTCCGATCACTGCGGCGGTGACCTTTCGACCGATGCAGAATGCTAAAGGTCTGCGTACTGTGGGGCCTCGATGTGGAGAGAGCGCAACACTCTTGTAGTGAACGGACACAGTAGACGCGGTCGGAACGAACCAAACAACTTATATTTATTTAACTACCTCTTTATAACGACCATATCGTCAGCCGAATTGTTATACATCAATTGTGATCAACATGCTAAACAACCTTACACAACACGCAACAACATAACAAACACAATAACACACCGAAGGTGGCGTCACCAACGCCTGACTTTTCACGAGGGCCCCCGGCAGATGGCCTGCGGTGCCGTGCACCGGGGACCCACGCGAGAGACAACCGTTCGCGCGAACTGCCACGCGCAAAAGAGGACCGCTCATATCTCGGGCGCCGACACCCAGGCCTGCCGCCAGGCGTCACTGCCGGCGCTATACGTACTAACTGTGATGATCATGTTGGGGATAACAAACGCTCGCCAGCACAACGACCCCTACCGCATTGTACTTGTGAACCCGAAATGCGGTTTATGCGCGAGACACGTGCACCATGAGGTGCCAACAACTTTACAGGGTGTGTCAGCACCCCCCACTGTACGGAGCGATGTCGGTCCACGTTAAAAAGTTCCAGATGGGTGAAAATTTCCGGAGCCCTATACTACGGCGTCTCTCATAATCATATCGTTGTTTTGGCTCGTGGAACCACATTAAATATTATTAAGCATCTACGTATGATCACCAGTATATATCTTAAGTCAACTTGAATAACGGTTTATTTATTATCTCGAAATTTTGAATACTATACATTGTGTTTAAATTGCACAACTCGTTAGCATTAAATCAATTATTACGTCACATTCTCATAATCTACGTGTATATTGAGACATGTTTGTTTGTTTGTTTATCGCAGGGACCTAATTTACGTCGTAAATGAAATAAATTCACCACTGAAGCCCACTGCATACAGATTGTTAACCAGATAAGCTGTAACGTGCGGCTCTCGTGCTTAGCAGTGGGTCGTTCTCGGCGCTTCATTAACGCATTTCCCAATTATTGGTTAAGTCTGACCAGGAATGCTGATTTATGCATGCCGCCATCGGTGATTAGCGCGACCTGCCCAGTTTCTGTGGTACGTGCGCGATAGGGGTTGTAAATAAAATGATGGTATGAGCATGCAGATGGTCGTCACTGAGCAAATTAAGGTGAAAAAAGACACATATGTTCCGGGACCCATACGGATTCCTTGTTCAGAACTCGTGAACAACGAAACCATACGAGTCCAAAAACGTCTTTGCTTTTTTTTTTACCTTGACTTGCTCAGCGACAGCATCTACATCCTCAGCGTGATACCTGACCAGACGAACTTTCGCCTAACTCTTGGCTACAAGAAATTGTTACGTCTAATGCCATGCATGGCAGACATAAGGAAGGATCCATGGGGAGGGCGGAATGGGGAATCGTTGGATGTTTTGAGTCCTCCATTTCTTTGAGTTGTTAATTTATAAACCGAAGCAGAGGCGAACCCCCCCAACGCTTCCAAAAGCTGACCTCTACCGCCCTCCACCCCCCCCCCCCCCCCCCCCGCCTTGGAAATATCCTGCATCTGCCGCTGTTTCAGCACCCCACAGAAGGTATCAGCTGCGAGTTGCTCATTATAGCAAACATCGAAACAAGACCAATGAAGACGGAACCGAGAGAAAAAACACGACGCATTGGTCCGTCAGCCACTCAGACTAATTATTCCCAGGCAATGGACAAGAGTGGTACGAGCAAAGATCATAACCATTACCGATCACTCCAC